CTGCTTCTCCCTCTGACCCTCCTCCCTCCCATGCTCTCTGTCTCTCATTCTCTCTCTCTCAAATAAATAAATAAAATCTTTAAAAAAAAAAAGAATTGATTTAAAAAAAAAAAAGAAAGACCAAGCAGTCACCAGGCTTGACACTGTCCCCTGATCTCAGTATCTCTGAATAAGAGTCTTGGTTTTTATTTACAAATTTTCATTCATTTTGCAAAAAGACAATGATGCTGTAACTCTATATCATGCAAATACATTTGGAACGGGATTTGGGCTAGTACCCTTTTAGGATACAAGCCCTCCAGGCATAAAGTACACGTTTTGCAGTCTTTTAAGGCTAATTATTTGCTCAGCAAAGTACCTGAAATCATTTCTCTGAGCTACAAATAAGTTGATGTTTCCAAACTCTAAGAATAGAAATGAACTCTGAAAGAGGAAATTGAATACAGTAAACCAAAGATAATGTGAGATAAACTCAAGCCTCACTCTTCCATCTGTGAGTTTCCTGTAGGAGGGGAAAAACACACTTTGTCAAAATTCAAAGGATAAAAGTTTGTTGGTTTTTTTTAAGATCGATTGATTGATTGATTTGAGAGAAAGACAGAGGCAGTGACAGAGAGCATGAGCGGGGAAGGAGAGGGAGAAGCAGGCTCCCTGCAGAGCAGGGAGCCCGATGCGGGACTCGATCCCAGGACCCTGGGATCATGACCTGAGCTGAAGGCAGTCGCTTAACCAACTGAGCCACCCAGGCGCCCTGTAAGCAGTATTTAAGACTTAGCTCCCATTATTACTCTCTGAATAGGGACTTACTGAATATCTATGACATACAAAGCTCAAGTTTGTCCCTTCCAAGAAGTCTTTCCTGATCCAGTTCTAAATGATACATCCTTCTCTCTCTCTGGCTCCTGTAAGATTTATTATATATACCACTATAACCCTCATTCAATGCTTTGTATATATGCACATAGTCACTTACCTGCTATTTAATCTAACCATTTTTATATGCACGTATTATCTTTTCAGTTAAATTGCATGTTCCTTAAGAACATGGGTTGTGTGTTGTATCTTTTATATCTCCCTAAGTAGCTAGTTCTGTGTCTCACATGTATGTGTGTATGTGTACGTATTAACATGTATGTATATACTGACATGTGCATACATGTCTGTGTTTGTGTGTGTGCGAAGAGAGAATGAAAAGGAGACTGAAATTTCCTGTTTTTGTGCCAGAAGTTTGCTCTCTAGTGGCTAGGAAGAGCCGTGGTCCAATTCTCCAACTTGCATTCCAAGATCTACACCACTAGGGAAGGACCTAGAAACGCAGTGACTTAGCTATGTGAGTAACATGTGGAGTTCATGTCCCTTTCCCCTTCAAAATATTGTTTCTCTCTATGTTATCAAGAAACAAGCCCGAATCTTCCATTTTCTCTACCAATAAGAATTTATGGAAAATCTGAATTGAGCATTTAGGGTCTACTCAAGGGGAAGAAGGTATCACTGAGGATTCGTGAAATACAATGTCCTTCGAAGCACTGATGTAAAATGACTTCTCATTTCACAGTCTAGAGATCCAAGCCTTATTATATACCTAGAAGACTTAAAGGCTTTTGACCCAACAAGAATAATAAAATGGCATTTTTTGCATTTTGAAAGACCTTTTTATTTTATAGGTAAGGAAGATGAGTCTTTGATAGAAGAGGTGACTTACCTGAGGCCGCACAGGGGGTTCCTCTTAGAGCTGGGTCTAGAACACAGCTCTTCTCAATCCTATGACACTGTCCTTTCCACCAAGTCAGCCTACGTGCAAGGACGTAGGGTGTGGGGAAGTGATGCCCTAAACCCATCTTGAGAGGGCCATGGTCCCTAATACACCACAATAAAGGACTTCAAAGTGAACAACTCTGGATAACCCTTGGCCCATTAAACAGAACCTCATGAAGTCACATTATATTAATCAGATATGTGGGCAGAAGACCATGGTGTGCTATTTACAAGGAATTCTGGAAACCCTGTCTTCTTAAGTGAAGGACCTGATTTGCCTCTTCCCAATTAACTTGCCAAAGCACATCCACATCCAACTCCTCCTGGTCATTTCATTTCTAGGCTGGCCTCCAATATGAGCCCCTTCAGCTTCAGACATCTGCAATCTTCAGCAGAATACTATGAAAAAGACCCTTTGGAAACCTGTAATCTGCTAAACCTGAGAAGTGGCCTGAGTGAGAAGGGAGGTCAGGAGAGAGGTAGCACCCAGAAGCTCAGCATCCAGCAACTTGCACATTGAGAAGAAAAGTATGGAATGTTTGTAAGGTGGTCCCCAATAACCAAGAAAACAAAACCAACATCCCAGACTCTGTCTACTCTCCACGTTCTGTCTTGTGGGAAAATATGAATGAGAAATGAAGAGGGGAAGGAGAAGCAAGTTGTGGGGTTGGGATGCTTTCTGGAAGAAGTCTTTCTGAAGGAGTCTTTAGCCTGTCCCAAAAGCAAGGCACCAGCTCAGCGCTGGGGAGAAGGGGAGTCATAGAGAAAACTCCCAGCCAGTGGCATACTACTTAAAATGTAAAGTAAGTATCATTTGGAAACTCCTACAAAGAATTTCCAAAGTCATTCTTTCCTAAGGAGGCTTCTGCTAAGAAGGCACATAATACAATGGAAAGAACAAGAAGCAGAATCTAAAGAAACAGGGGTCCTGCCTTGGTGGTCCTGTGGCTGGATCAGTATGTAACCTCAAGAAAATCACATTCCACGACATGGGCCTGTTTCCTTCTCATGTAAGAGATGGAGCTTCGCCAGTTGATCTCAAAGCTTCCTTCCAGATCTTGTAGTCCAATAATAATAATAATTTGATATTCCCAAGAATATCAAAGTAGTTTTATGTCTCTCTCTCCATCTCTCTATCTCAATGATCCTCCACACCTTATTTTAAGTAAGTAACTGTTAAGGACATTAAAATGACTTACGGTATGAGGGAAAATATTCTAGAGAGCGTCATAGGGCTCACTGCCCCAACAAAATTTACAACCAGTACATTGCTACAAACTTCATCCCAGTTAAACCTTGATTAACCATTGACTATCTGAGGGGCTCATTCCTCCTTCCGGCCCATCCATTGCGTTCACTCTCAGGATTCTCAAAGAGATCTCATTTGGGGTGGGACAATGCTTCATTGAGCCAGACCATTCCTAGGTCCTGCCCACTAACTGCCATTAAGTATCTCCCAGTCACCGTGACACCCCCTCACCACCCCCACATTTTCATGTGCCTCCACGGAAATAGCACTCCCCTGGTTATGAGCAATGACAATCTTCACCATCAAAGGATATGAGAAAAAAAGGAGTTTATCAACCTCAAATCATTTGAGCCTCATTGCATCTCAGGAACTCATAGGAAAAAATCAAAGTGAAAATAGTTTGAGGCTATTAGCCAAAGTGGGTTTTGGATACCTGTCGTTGCAGGTAACTTCCTCTGGCGGGACCACTGCCTTCTCCCTCCACTTGAGCACAGATAAGTAGGAGCTGCCTCACAGATAGGCTTTCGCTTCCATTGCTTTCCCACCAGCCTTCTCCCACCTCCCTTTTCTTACCTGGCATAACATCCTGCAAGACTCTGTGGGCAAAAGAAACACGAAGCAGTAGAGCCAAAGCATGTGAGTCATCATCTTCCACGTAGCTGCCTTTCTTGCTTCTAGAAAAATTAATGAAAAAGCAAAGTGTCTCCACTCTGAAGCTTTTGAAGCTTCTCCCTGCAGACCCAGTCAACCTGTAAGTCTAGGTTCTGTCCTTCGTGCGGTCAATTCAGACTTCTCTGCCCCACAGGTGGCTTCCCTGTGGCCTCCCATGGATCACGGGGAGGCTGCAGGTGTGAGTAACAGTTGGACCCAGGAAGCGCAGGCAATGGGATACCTCCTGTGGGAATCCCTCCAAAGGACGCTGCCTGCTGGGCTGCAGTGAATAATAGCCCGTGTTCAGGCAACCAGAATGATGGTTCACTCCCTGGGTTAGGCAGGCCTGAGAAACGTGTGGGTGGCTACGGTAGAAGGTGAGCTGGGGTTCCCATGTGCAAACTCAGCCCAGAAATATCTTGGGAAGGAGAGTAAGCTCCAGGCTTGGCCCATGATCCTCACTCCCACCTGACACCAGAGCTGTATTTTCATAGGTAGGTGTCAAACTTCAAAACTGATCTTAGCCAAGTCCTGACATTGTGATTTCTGTCCAAATTGATGTCAAAACTGAAATGGTTCCTTGGCACCTAGAACATTGCTGGACACATGGTGGGCCCACGATATGCTCATTATAGAAAGAGGAAAGGAGGGAGGGAGGGGAGGCGGTTAGGAAGAGCTGACGATTTGTATCAGGTCCATGCTCTGTAGAAGACTCACGTAAGTTGAATTTTTTTAGTATTAAATTTTAATAATTTTAATATTTTTCATTTTGAGTGAAATCCTCTTTGAACGGTATTTGATGTTTCTCTGCTTTTAGATGGAAGTGTTCAGAGGACTTGGTGTCATCAACAGAGGCCAGGAGCTCTTGCAATGGTCGATGTTTGCTATTTGACCATTTTTAGCCAAAAAGGAGTAGCCTTTCACCCAATCATGCATAATTCTACAGCAAACAATACCATTATTTTAAAGACTAGGCAAAATGTCTTTTTAACCATATTTCCTGCAGTGAAATATTTACCGCACTGAAATCCAATGACTATTTAAAATATTTTACATTGCCTGTTTCAGCCTGTTGTTAATAGGGTTTTCTGGAGGTCCGTAGTTCTTTAAGCACAAGGATTACTTTGTTGCTCATCACTTTCTAATGTATTTAGTAGAAACCCAGATAGACACACAGTTTCAAGTAGATTTCAGTCAGGTTGGCTTCCTTTTTTCCAACTTACATCTTTCAAAGGGATAAAAATCCAGTATGAAAATCATCAAAGTGACTTACCACAATCATCACCAATGCAGTTACTGCTTTGGGTAAAATCATCAAAATTAGAAAGAAATTAAAGCCACTGATGAATTTGTTGACATATTTTCATAAAATCTGAGCATGAGTCCATGTTTTTCTGAATTACATTAATTTTACATTAAAATTCTCATCATACAGAATGTTTTCTCTTTAAAACTCCTTTAAAAAAAAAAGGTTTAAGGAATGATAGAAGACAACAAACTTTTGAAGGGTTAGCACTGCTCTGCCCAGACCCTCAAACAGATTTTTTAAAAGGGGCTGGGAAGAAGTTGAATGATTAGATCAGGTGGATGGATCAATATGAAATCTTTGTTTGCTTAAAAAGTTTAAGGTGTCATATTGAAAAAAAATATTTTATTGTCCTGTTGCTTTAAATTTTAAACGTAGTTGTTTTAATTTTATCAAAATGCATTTTGATTAGGGGCGCCTGGGTGGCTCAGTCGTTAAGTATCTGCCTTCGGCTCAGGTCGTGATCTCAGGGTCCTGGGACTGAGCCCCGCATCGGGCTCCTTGCTCTGCAGGAAGCCTGCTTTCTCCCTCTCCCGCTCCCTCTGCTTGTGTTCCCTCTCTCGCTGTCTCTCTCTCTGTCAAATAAATAAATAAAATCTTAAAAAAATATATAAAATGCATTTTGATTAATTGTTTTTTATGCATGGCAAAATGAGCACTTTGTGCTTTATGTGGTAATGACCTTCACAGACTTTACGGTAGGGACTTTTTTGATAGTTACGCTATTAAAATTTTGGAGCCCAGAATTTCCTAGCAACTTCTTTACTTACTATCTGGGACTAGCTTGTCATAGAAGAACTGAGGACCATAACTCTGGAATGTTATCTTTGTGCAAGTTTCAACAACAGTGGGACTGTAGGTGCATTTTGAACTTTTTCTTAATTCTTTTAACTGGCAGAAACATTTTCTAAGGTTGGCTTTGTTGGTATTTTGCTTATAAAACTGCTCTTTAAGTAAAGTGGACTTAAATAAAATCAATTTTCTTCCAGACTTGTTGACATTAAGCCATAATCATTAGTTCTTTTTCCAGTCCCTTGAAAGCAAAAAGTTTGGAAGAAGCCAAAAGTATCGTGGCAAGACAGCAACAGGAATACAATCTTTGACCCCCCGCCCCCAACCCCCACGCCACCCACCTCCTTCCCATTTTCTTTTGAAAAGCCTCAGGTCTCTAATGGTTCAGACCTCCCTCGCCTGCTCACCCCACACCTTTCTGCAGTGCAAGGGTACCCAGAGTGTAACTCTTCTCTCTCAAACAAATGTTCAAAAATGTTGGTTTCATGTATCCCAAGCCAAAAAAAAAAAAAATTCATTACAGACATTCATTTCAGGAAAGGCTTATCTCTCAAGAACATACCACCTGAAAAAACAGTTACCTCATGCGATTCACACCAAAAAATCATGAAGCAATTACATCAGCGCTGACATTTCACAAAGTAAGATGTGCCAAATACAAAATGTTACAATTTTTTTCAGGGAAGAAAACATGTCCCTTCTCCTTTATAAAGAAGAAAAAGGAGGTGGTGGGGGAGAACAGTAGAGTGTCCGGGTACTGTGGCTAGATCTGCAGACATCCTATTTCCAAACATCCAAACTAAAATATGTTTTCCCATTCTCTGCTGTCTGCTTTCCAAATCTGAAAAAGGTGCCTAAGATGTTCATGTATGTGTTTATTCAACAAACACAGAATGAGATCCCAGTTTCCAAGCGATGTCCTAACAGCTCGAAATTAAACAACCACAAGGATAATAACTTCTTTCCCTGTCTGCTCACCACCTCAGGGAAGCCACAGGCTAATGAGGCTTCTAAAGCAGCTCCAAGGGTTTGGGAACTTGGATGGGCTTTGCTCCCTAGAGACCTGAGGACTCTCGAAGTCAAAGCTACTCAAATCAGCATCAGAGCAAGAATTCCAAAGTGCCAGATTTCACCTATCGATTCTCATCTACATTAACAATTTAATTTCGACATAGCTCTTCCTCTCTCTATGTCAGATTCCTCCACCCCAAAGCCACGTGGTTGACTGGCAACAGGCACAGCTCACTAATGAAAGACAAAGCAGGCAGAAAACAAGCAGGGGAGCTGCATGCTGGGGCGTGTTCTGTGGATGGCCCCATCAGAAACAAACAGGGCTCAATTTAAACACACACTCACACACGTAAGCGAGAGAGACCAGAGCAATTTTATAGGGTGATTTTGGAGAAAAACTCTACAACTTGAACCCTGAAATCTTGATTAGGAAAACACAAAAGTATTGGAACACGATTCATGGCAATCACAAACAAAATAAACAAAACTCCAGACAGAACTTTATCAGCCACTCAGGAGTATTTCAATCCCCAGCTCTGTCAACTGACAGTCTGCGGCTAGCACTTGCAGCAATTTTTTTTTTAAATTTTTTATTGTTATGTTAATCACCATACATTACATCATTAGTTTTGTATGTCGTGTTCCATGATTCATTGTTTGTGCATAACACCCAGTGCTCCATGCAGAACATGCCCTCTTTAATACCCATCACCAAGCTAACCCATCCTCCCACCCCATAATTGGGTTTTGTAGCAAATTGCTGAGGCTCCCAGTGAGATCTGCAAAATACCATCAAAGTTCCCAAACAGTGGGAATACACTTTCGATGTATCCAGGGGTGGATGATCCTTTGTGTCTGTCATTTCTCCATCCCGCTGTTTTACCTCTAGTCAATCACCAATTCCATCCCTCCCACCTGAATGCAGACATCATGGAAGGCAAGAAGAGAATAAAACAAATAGTTATTGTCTATTTACTCTGCGTCAGGCTTATGTCTGCATTAACTCTTTTAATGTCATCAGGTAGTTCTGTGAGACTGAAGTGACTTTCACGATGTTCCAAAATTAAGGGGCTAAAAATTGACCCCGCCGAACTTCACGGGTACTAAGTAGCATATTTGGGATTTGAACTCAGGTCTGTGATTTTTTTTTTTTTTTTTGGTATATCATATGGCTTTTCTGATAGGAGAAAGAGCTGATCTTTGTATGGGGTTAATTCTTTCAGAACAGTTTCACATGTAACTTTCATCTTGACATCATAAAATTTTATGAGCTGGGCAGGTTCTTTTAACTACATCATTCTGTCCCATCCTCCTTCTTGTCTTGAAGATGTAAAAAGACTGAAATGCTGATCACCATCTCCAGGGGGAAAAAAAATGATGATAGATAGATAGATAGATGATAGATAGATGAAAGAGATCGAAGTTTAAGTAACCTTAACTAACTAAGTAGAATTGTCTTCAGAATTCCTTCTGTCTTTTTCCTGAGTCATGTCCCCTGCTGTGCCCAGATGTTCAGGTCTCACTTTTGGATCCAGTCTAGAATCTCCCTCCTTGGACAAAGCTTCTCACTCTGAAGCAAACTGTCCCACATCAAGGGCCTCCTTCCCTAGGTCTTGGTCCTTCAGAATTCGTTTGACTAACAAGAAGGAACAGTTAATAAGATAAGCTGACTTGCAGTGATGTGAAAATGAATACAAATGGTTTTGTGATTTAGTCATCCCAGATAAGCACTGCAACACTTCTGGGACTCTGTCGTATAGAAATAACTTATACAGGAAAACAGCATGCTACGCAAAGTTGCTGATGGCAGATTTGTATATACAGCAACAGAAAAAGAGTATGGAGGGGCACCTGGGTGGCTCAGTCGTTAAGCGTCTGCCTTCGG